CTACAGCATCACCTTCAATCCAATTTCTGTGCATTGCTCAAGAACAAACCAGGAGACTGCTTCCTCCCTTTTGGGTACTCTGGCTTTTTGTTCCCAGAATGAATGCAGCCCCAGCATAAGCACAGACATTAAACTGCCTTAAAACTGTTTTTACACCCTTGTATCAGGATCTCAACAAAAAGCAGAGGGGGATGCAGGAGTCACAGAGAAGTTCCATATCACACATAAATGCAGCAGTCAAAACATGTAGCTGTACCATCAAAGAGACAAAAATAATTTTAGCAGGTAAAATTAACCAGGCCACACAAACAGTCAAGCAGAAAAGGCCTGTGTGTTAGAAAAAGAAAATGATGTAGAGAACAAACCAGAACACTTATTTATTTCAAGTTAAAAAAAGAAGACAATAAAAAGACAAATATTGAGTTCAGTTTTAATATCACTTCATGCCTTTGTTCTCTTTAACAGTAAATCTATGTTTCACTGCTTGCAGATTATTTTGTACACGTTATCAGGTTGGTTCAATAACTACCTTTTACTCTACAAAACCTTTTCTATTATAATTATTCCAATCCAGAGCAGCTGGTCAACATTGTAAAGTGTTTGATCACACTTCATACAAAAGATATGCTAAGGAATATTGAACGTTGTTACCTTCCACATGGAGCAAAAAAAATCACATACAAAAGAAAACTCAGCATTGTGTCTAGGTCTATAAATGCCCAGAAGCTTTTAAAAGCTTTCCTAATTTGCCCCCAGCTCATTCTGTCACAGACACATTTCTACCCAAGACACTAATTTTTGAATATTCTGTGTAAGGGATTCTCAATATTCATCAGGCATAAGGAAGCTAAGCAATAACCCATACTTCTTTCTTCCAAGAATGCTTAAAAACAGTAAAACCCAGAAACTACAGAACCTGCCAATATTGCCCTTTAAAGAGTATGATACAAGATGAAAGCCAAGGTCTTTAAGCAGCTGCAAAAATATACTTTCTTTGCCTAAATAGAGAACAAATCTGAGTATTTAAAAGTTTAAAAAGTCTCAGTTTTGGCTTATTTCATAAGGAATATCTTGATAGCAACCTTACTGCACTCTCCCTAGTGCTGCCTCATAGCCCTATTAACCCACGCACACAAAAATAAGACTTCCCCCCCACCCCTTCATTTTTCTTCTTCTTCCTAGTGTTCTGTCTCCCATCACACAATCACGACTCTTTATATAGGCAGTGCCAGTCCCTGCTCCCACGTAATTCCTACAGGCACCCTGGAGAATTCATTTCCAACCAACAACCTTACAGAGAGGAAAGCGTACTCCCTCTGGTAATCTGGCTCTTTTCAGGTCAATCGGTTCTTCAGTGCCTTGCAGGGGTTTAGCAGGAACTAGACATAAGTGCCTCACTGAGAATTATCAGCAACCAGCCCTCATTTCCATTGTAAAACACATTACAGCATTTCAAAGCTATGCTAAAATTTCAGAAGAGCGCTCTCCTATCATTTTTGTACTAAGCTACTAAGCATTAAGTAAAAAGTGCTAAACACCAACATGGTAAAAAGGTAATTAACATGCTAGCACCTATGAGAACTGGGTAAGAACTGCTCACGGCAGCTTTTGCAGTATGCACCTGCATGATTAGTTTTTAAGGAAAACTTTAATTTCTTTTTTGATCTGCCTTTTGAAGTGTTAGTAGAAAGGTGAGATTCTCTAGTCATACTAAAGCTCTGAGAAGGGCAGAATACATGAGGCCACTTCAAGGACAAGATAAATAGACTGAGCTGAACGTCAGCCAGTTCAAATAATTCACAAAACCCGCTCATCTGCCTGCAAAACAAAATCTTTCCTCAGTTCCTCTAGGATATTTTCAGCTTGATTTTTCACTTTACCTACCCTTGACATATAAACACTACTAAATAGTAGATTCCTTCCCAGGTGCTGAAGAAGATTTAATCAGTGACACATATAGTTTGGATAGTTACCTTAATTTTCGTCTTGTTCTCCCATACCTTTCCTACCTCCGCCATCCATACCCATTTGACTTCTCTCTCTCTCTCTCTCCTAAAAGCCTTTTATTCTTCACTGTCTATTCTGATAGAAGGCCACAATGGGGAACAAGTTTTACACCTAACCTGTATGCAACCCTTTCCCCTAAAGTTAAGTTTTTCTGAAAGCAGAATCCAGAGAGCAAGTGTCCCTTGTTAGACTAACTTGGATTCCCTCTACTACAAGTAAAAAAATGTTATACTTCATTTACGCCTTCAGCTACATTTCATATCCTTACAAAA